GGATGTACATCATTCAAGCATCCCGCCATCTAGGGTTCATGGCCACTATCACGTCGTTGTCCAGTCCTAGTCCTTGTTCACGCCATAGCTCCTAGGCCATTGCGTTGGCGTTTATGTCGACTTGTGGCGGTATGCAAGGGCCCAGAATAAAGACACCGACGATGTAGGACGTGACGAACTGAACTCCGTTTCCAGAAAATTCCCGACATCCAACACCAAGGAATTGAGAGCTGCCGTTGGGCCTATGTTTGAGAAAGGGTGGGCCCAAGAGGAACACTGCTAGGTAACTGTTTGGCAGAGGTCACATCCCTTGTGCCCTACGCTACATATGGCCTTTGGCGCAGGGACTACAACGACAGGGTCAACAAGTTCTTGCATCTCAGCTTTAAAGGAATGTAGAGGTTGAGCAGTTTGTCATAGCATGCCGGTATCCCCATCTCGGAGTCCCTACGAAATGTAATCCCACATCCTGTTTGATATGTTCATGGCCTCATATGCGATGGCCTTAAAGCTGATCGTGCAAGGCTTGATGTTGCTAGTTTCAGGACGGCAGATAACTTCCTGAGCCGTCAACCCCGAAACCCGAAAACTCAACATCTAGAACCTCTATGCCTAGAACATAGAAGAACTAGACACTGAAACCTTGAGCCCCTGCGCCGGACAGGCGTCCTTCAACCATGAGCACGCGCAGAGCCAGACACCCCTTTACTACCAATCAGCCCTGAATCTTTTCCTCCGGCTTACAAGCACATGGCTTGATGCAGTGGCTTTTGGCCCTCCGAGTGCACTTGCAAGTCCAAAGCACGAGTCCAAAGCACGAGAGCAGCGAGCACTACATCCGAGAATGCTGTTCCTTCAGTCGGGGCTATTGCCGGCGGGTCCAAAATACCAAGCCCTGACGCCTCAACCCGAAATGTGACATGACAATGACAGTAACTTATATTCGAAAGTTTTAAACCAACCTAAAGCCCAACTCCCAACAAGATGCCAAAGTTTCACTACAGAGACCCCACGCCCGATTCCTGAGCACGTCGCATGAAACCCCATTCTGAACCTCGGAACCCCTAACCGCACAAAAACAACGCGACAAATCAACATCCCGTCAAACCGACACTGAACCTCACCCAAAAATAAAAACCCAAGCCCCATAAGCCCTAAACCCTCAACCTTAACCCTGCTCTGCGAAGCTGGAACGCTTCAAAAGAAACCTCACCAACTGATCAGAGGCCTCTCGCCTCGCGACCGAAGTTGGCCGTCTTGCGGCGGCCACCTGCGGCGCGGGCCAAGCGCAAGGCAAGTGGGGGCTCTTCTAGGTCTGCATTCTCTCCTTATCAAAAGACAATTGCATAACAAAGGTTGATCTGTACTGAATGGGATGCGGCTCATCAATAGAAGTCGTCTGCTGATTTTCCGGAGCGAAGGGCGCTAGCTTGTGATTTTAGAACTCGTTTTTTTGTGCACTCGGGCCTTCTGGTGGGAGAAGTTGGCAGCGGCAGCTTAATTACAAGTGTATCATATCCCCCAGAAAAGAGGAGTGCAATGGCACCAGAGCTTCTAAAAGTCTGAGCCCGTCATCGCCCTCGAAGGCTTCGAAAGCAGGACGCACCTCCGAGCGCCAGGCTGCCTCCCGCATGGCAAGAGGTTCTCGGTTTCCACTACTTGAAGGCTCATGGGACTTAGTAAGTAAGGTTATAAGTAGGTTGTAATTAGGATAACCCCACTTAGGGGACCTATAACCCCAATTATAACCTACTTACGAAGTCCCATGATCCTCCAAGTATGGAGCTGCGTCATGTGCCGCCCAATAAGTCTCGATTCTACAATTAATAATACTGAGGCCCCAAAATACCAACCCAGACTTGCATTGCCCAACCATTACTAGTACT